AGGCAAACATCATATAACAATATTTTTGTTTTTTTTCAGAAAGGTTTTATGATCGAATCTGACCTGGATTTTTCTTCTTTTTTTGGTAAAAAAAAATTCGGTTTGGTTGCTTTGGAAGGGTCAAACTGCAACAAAAAATTTTCATCAAAGTTATTAATAGATTTTGGGAAAATTTTCTGAAAAGAAAGAAAGAAAAATGATGATAATCGATAACCATTGGATTCTACAGAATTCTACTGTGTTGTTCAATTCCTAAATAATGATAATTAGATTGGATTGCATAATAAACAAGCAAGAAAAAGAAAAACCCCCAACAACAAAAACAAAAATGACTAACAGCAATTAATTAATCATCAAACGCAGAAACGAATGTGAAAAATATGACATCTTTTTTTTTGTCTGAAGATAAATTATACTGGGCAGAAACTGGGCAGCAAACAACCAGCCAGCAAAACAAATAGCGACCATTTTCCTATGTGACATATGTGTGTTTGTGTTCCAAATAACAACAAATAATCCACACAAGCTACAATGAAAAATTATCCATTGAAAAGACACCAAAAACAACAGAAAAATATTAAGCTGTATCATCATTCATTCAGTTCAGTTCAGTTCTGTAACTTTGTATTTTGGGTTGTTTTGGTTCAATATTAATTATGATGATTATGATGATGATGACCTAACACATTATGAATTTGTCATTTTCTTCAATTTACTGACACATAGTAATTTATATGTTTGATTTTGACATGGAAAAAAGTGAATGAAAAAATATTTAACCCTTTCATTCATTCCAGTGTTAGTCCATCGATTGTCTTTTGTCATAAATGTCATTCATGGATAATCCAATGTTTGTGTTAATGTTTGGTGGCTAATTAAACACAACAAACATTTTTGAACATTATCATTATCATCAGAAATATTTCGCCTGGGACAAATGTAATTCTGTAGATTGAAATCGAGATAAAGAGAGAAATTGAAAGTTTTTTGAAATTGTCATTCGATTAATTGGACTCTAAGGACTTTTCAAACAAAAACAAAAACAAAAAAAGTTTTTTAAAACTTGAATAAAATTTAATTGAAAATTTTCCTGTATCATTCAATGAATCAGATTATCTAATCAGTTTAGGAGGAAAAACAAAACAAAAAACGAATGAATTTGATCGGATTTTGGAAAAATGTCAAGAGAGAATCAAGGCAATTCAGAAAATCAGAATAAACTGTCCAGCTTAGTGAGCTGGACTGATTTTTTGTAATACCAAACAAACATCAAGTTTGTCCATCAAAATGATGCTATGCAAACTATGCATGTAACTTTGTTGTTGTTTTCTACCTATTTATTTATTTATAATGTTTATATAATAATTATTATTCCTAGGTAATTGGAAATGATTTTTTTTCGAATGTAACTAACAAACAAACACACCTGGTTAGTTTTTTATATATTCATAAGTTTTGCTTTTCCATGTAGAAACTTT